TTTTTTAATTATTGTGAATTTTAGCTATGTTTGAGTATCATGTAATAAGATATGGCTGGCTTTAGTCTTGTTTTTCTTTTTTAATCAGTACGAATTTTAGCGATGTTTAAGTATCAATTTGTAGGATATGGTTTTAAATTTGCAAATTTTTGCTAATAGTGTATGATTTTGAATGATTGTAAAGCACCTTGAGGAGAGGATACAAGCGCTATATAAATAAAGTTGTTATTATTATTACAACACATACTGCATTAGCAATCCCTTAGGAATTAGTGACAATATAACACTTATGTCAGACATAACACATACAAGAATAGCAATTTCAGATTTAAGACTGACAATAATTGATGAAATCTCAAGCGCACAACTTCAAAGGTTATGACAGGTACTTCATTCTATAAGAACTCTACAAACAACACGTTACCAACCTACAGCAAATCGTCAATGTGGCCAAGATACTCTGTTTGGAATTGCCCAATGTCAAGTTCATCGACTCCATGAATTTTTTACCCATGGCTTTGTCAAACTTTCCAAAAACATTTAGGATTGATGAACTAAAGAAAGGGTTTTTTCCCCATTTCTTTAATACCCAACAAAATCAAATCTATGTTGGTACATGCCTGACAAATCTTACTACGACCCTGATGGTATGTCCACAGCACGCAAAGATGAATTCCATAAATGGTATGACGAAAAAGTATCTGAAAGATACATTTTCAATTTCCAACGTGAACTGTTGACTTACTGTCAATCCAATGTAAGACTCCTCAAATAAGGCAGCATGAAATTTCAAGCACAGTTCAAGGATATTGTCGAATTTAATCCCATGAAAGAATGCATCACCATCGCTTCTGCCTGCAATGTAGCATACCGGAAGAAATGGATGCCTGAAAACAAAATTGCCATTGAGCCGGTATGTGGATGTCATCCCCAACACACCCAATCTCATGCTGCTCTAACATGGCTCTACTGGGAAGAAGAAAAACTCCCCAAATGTGACCTCCTGCCTCAAATTGCCATGCCAGAAACAAAGGTGAACGAAGGTTGGTGAATGGAAACAAACATTTCTCATGGATGGGTACGACGCCCAAACAAAGACCATCTATGAATTCCAAGGGTGTTTCTACCATGGGTGTCTGGGCATGACAGCGTCCGAGTAAGACGTGCCCAAGAAAGTTCCATAGCTGCTGTGGAGTGATATATAGTTTTCGGTTGTTTTCTTTTTATGGCTGAGGTCAATAAACATAAAAACCGAGTCAGCAGTACCTCGAGCATAGAAAGTAGGGATAGTGAATCAGCATCGCCAGCAGATAAAAAGACAAGGAACTGCTTTAGTGAAGATGAAGAAGCGGGAGAAGCCAACATGTCCGACAGCAAACATATCAAGCAAATATTAGAAAGACTGAACAAACTAGACACGCTCGAGACTCTTTCCACAAAAACTTGAAAACCTGGAAGCTCACGTTAACAATTTAGACGTCAAATTAGACACACTGGAAGCAAAAAGCCGAAACCAGGACAAATCCATAGGCGAGTTGAAGGCAAGTGCAAACTTCTTTAATCAAAAGTTTGAAGAGAACAAGGATCTGTTCCGTGCAGATACCATGGAAGTAATCAAGAATCAACAACTAAAAATCAACAAACTGAACAAGGAGCTGCTATACATGGAGGCTTACTCAAGAAGAGAAAATTTAATTATCACTGGAATTCCTGAGTCTCGAGAAGATACAGGTGTGGAAGACACTGCCAAGGTGTTAGTAGATTTTATGGCGAACGAACTTAATGTTTCAAACGCCACTGATATTAATTTTCAACGAGTTCACCGCCTGGGCAAGCCAAAGGATAAAGGCCCGAGAGCTATTATCGCTCGTTTTCTGAAGTATCCTGACAAGGAGAGAATCTTATCGCTGGGGAAGCATCTGTGCGACAAGGATATTCATATGTTCTCAGATTACCCTGAAGAAATTCAACATCGAGGAAACGACAACTAAAGAAGCTCAAAGACACAAAACAAGCTGGAAAAAGGGTTGCCTTTAGCAAAAGCAAGCCGGATTTGCTATACATCGATGGATTCCTTGTCCCTGAATAAACGGGAACTAACTGAATTTTGACTCAGGCCGTAAGCCTATATGACTTGGTAGAACTATCTTAGATTAAA